CGACTTATTCCACATCAAGATTGGGGGGGGGGAAGGGAGGGAAGGAGGGAGAAAAAAAGATCCCTTTCTCTATTTTGGCCAATATTTAAAAAAATAAAGAAATCACGTTCACTATTCAAAGCGGTCTACTGGTGTTACTTCCATATTCCCAGGGTCCTATCAAAGTGGTTTGTTTTTACGTTTCTCCTCCACACTTTTCAGGAGAGTCAGGAGGAAAATGCTGGGGGAGATCTGAGCTGCCCTCCCTTCTCCCCGCTCCATCCCAGCCGCAGTGTGTGGGGGTGAGATATTCCTGCCAGGACCTAAAGGAAAACTCATTGCCCCAGTGGCATTCACCGCCTTTCCCCTTCATCTGCAGCCACTGCTTTCTTGCCGGCCTTCCCGTGCAATGCAAAAAGTAAACGGGGGAAGCACGGAGGAGCCCACGTGCAATCGGTTTGGCGTTATTAACGACGAGATCCTTATTAATTTTGGCGGGGGGGAAGTGTGGTTTGTAGGAAACGCGAGGTGATTTTGACCTCTGGTCATGTTCTGAGCCTTGCACACGAAAACCAAACGAGGCGCCCATATATAATGTTTCCAGACTCACCTTTTTTCCCTCCTTCCATTCCCAGTGTCGCGAAAACCTTTGGCAAAGGGGTTGTTGTCAATTTTTAATTGAGTGATCTACAGGGAGAGAAGGAAAAAAGAAAACCAAAAGCGGGGTTGGGGCAGAAAGAAGGAGATTTGGTGAAAGAACAACCGACACGACCTCCTCCTCCCCACTTCCCACCGCCCAGGCAGCAGCAGCCAGTGCACAGGGTGGGATTTTGGGGTGAATCCCTGCGTTTTGGGGCTGGCCGGTGAGTCGGGCAGTGGTGGCAATGAAGGAGCCCCACATCACCGCTGCCGCATCGGCGTTCAGTTAGCCGTGCAACGCGATCCATACGAGTTATGCCTGTGCTTAAACTCTTTAAATGCCATAATTAAACCGCAAAGGAATCATACCCACCCCCTCGCCATAATAAAATACTTCGTATAATCGCATTATGCCCCGCGCGTGTGCGTGTGCTGGGGCTCTGGGGGTGCCAGGAGCGGGCTGATTTGGGCTGATCTGGGCTGGCAGGGATTTCGGCGGTCGTTTGGGGGATTCTATGGGATCCGGTCTTGCTCCACAATTCTGGAGGAGAGCGGGACCCAGTGAGCAAACAGCTTTGGACCCTGAGCAGCACCGGCTCCCAGGTTCCCCCCCTCCAACTCCTTCTGCACATATAGACAAGATAGAGCAGGGAAAACCCTTGACAGAAGAGGTGAGACCCTCAGCTATGTGATCTGGGCAGTGCTCCTGACCTCCGCTCCCCATCACCCCCCCGCCCCCCCCAACCCCCTTTGTGATATCAGAGCATTTGGCTGGAGCTGCTGCTCCGTGCTTCCAGCTGCGGGCTGGCCGGACAGCCCCGTGTGTAACTCCCAAAGCAAAGTCTGCTCTGCACGCGTTCACCTTTCGTTTTCTTGCAAAAAGGTGAGCAAAGCGAGAGCAACGCGTGCCAAGCACCGCCAGAGAGGGGATCTGAGGAAAGGAAGGGTGCAGCCCCTCCTTATGCCTGGCTCTGGGCCATGGAGGACGGCAGCGGATGGAGAGACAGAGCGAGCGGGGTCTGCACAGCTCTGCTCTTCAGGCACATGCACACCAAGTTCTAATTTATAGACAGCAAAATAAGAGCCCCTTCTTGGCTCTTTCACTTCCTTCCACTTGACTTAATTATCGTAAATTCGCCTTTTGCCAGGCTCCCAAATGTGCCACCTTCGTTGAGAGCGACAATAAAGCGGCAGAAATGGGGAGGCAGCGTCTGCAGCGCTGCAAACTTTCTCGCCCTGTCTCTGTGAGACCTTCCAGCTCATTTCGAGCAAGATACTCCTCTCTGATCAGAGCATATTTCTGCACCACAAAAAATAATAAAACACTGCAGGATGAAAAAAAATATCATAATATAATAATAATAGGAACCAGACGTGCGCTCCAGCCTTATTGCCAATTGCTGTTAAAGGAGCTAAAACAGCACAAAGGCCAGGAAGAATTACAAAATCTCCAGCCACGCTGCTCTCTCCCCCCTGTCTTTCGACACACGGATCAGATTCTTTTTCTGATGCGTCTTAGATTAAATCCACACTGAAAGCAGCGATCCCCACCCCATCCTTCCCCCTTTCCCCACACCGGGGAGCAGAAAAAAATATGTATATCCAAAGCACTCCCCCCCCCCCCCCCCCCCACACACACACATACACACAGCCTTCTTTTTAATTGCCCTGCCCGGGGTCGGCTGCGGGGAAAGTGCCTTTCCCCCTCCCCCAGTGCCGTCCCAAAGTCGGAGAGGGAGGATTTGGGGGAAACGAGCTGGGGTAGAGGGGAGCGGGACGAACTCAGTGATCTTTAAGGGAACAATACAGAGTAAAAGCTCTCTGAAAAGCCAAAACACGTAAAACAAATCCTTTCTTAATCTCCTTACCTTATCATTCTGGTATGCGGTCACTGCGATGAATTCAGTCTCCGGGAACACGTAGGTCCGGAACGTGCTGTAGGGAAGCTTGAGAATATCGTTCGCTCGGACGATGTGGAAGCGGGGCTGGTACTTATGCATGGAGTTTAAAATGGTCTGCGGTGCGGAGCGGCCGGGGGGGGGAGGGTGGGGGGAAAAAGAACAGGGTGAGAGCCAGCAGCACCCGCTTGCGCTGCCCCGTGCTTTCTCCTCATCTGCGCACCCCGAGCGCACCGCAAACACACGCACACGCCGCGCAGCATCCAGCACAAAGCACTGACAGCTCCGGCTCTCCCGCTGGACGCCAGCGGAGATCTCCCGCGGGGGGGAGAAGGGGGGGAGGGGTTCTGCTGGGGTTATTTGGGCTTCGGACGCGACGGCTTTAGATTACAGGGCGAACCAAAAGAAAATAAAAATAAAGCGGAGACGGGAGCTACAATAGCAACGCCACCACCAGCGCCTTGGTCAGGTCTAATTGCTCGCCTCAATCTACTTAAGGCCTTCTGCGAGAGGCAAGAGCGGATCGTCTAATCGAATCACGGGCGGCGAATGCAATCTTCGGCGCATTAGAGATCCCCCGACCGCGGCCACCGCCGCAGCCCCGGCTCCAGACTTTCCCAGGAATAGAAAGAAACGGCGAGGAGCGGCGGGCACTTATCAGCAGTTTGTTTGATTTCACTCGCAGGGGGAGCTTTTTATCTCTGCACACCCAGTAAATGTAAAGGAGTGGATAGACATGAATGGGCAACTTGACCTTTGCTTTTGGTTCCTGTTTATTTTCACTCTGGCTTGCTTTACGTTATCCAGATTAATATATATTTAAATGTTTGCATACTTAGGCCTTTAAGCCCTTTATACACATATGCATATCATTTTCCTATGCTTAAAAAGTGTGATCGTCTCTATTAAAAATATATTACATATGTGTATATGTATCGAGCCAACGCAGCTCTGAGATATATCGAGTTGCACTATGTTGGAAACGTGTCTCTGAAGTTTATTCTGAACGGTACGGATTGGGTGTTTGGAAAGCTTGCAGAATAAATTCTCTTGTTTAATCCTGACCTCGGCAACAGAAAAAGAAAGGAACGTTTTAACTGGACATAAACACACCAGCCGGCTGCATGCAGGGGCTGTTTATTCCCCATTTTCTACACACGTGTGGTGCCCGAATTGCAGTGCCTGGGAAAGCTCCGGGCCGGGCGCTGCGGGGGAACAGTGCTTGGGGAGAGGGGAAAAGGACTCACAAATCCGTGCTTGTCGGAGATGTTGTTAGTGAGCTTCAGCTTGTGAAAGGTGACGACTTTGGACATCCATTGTTCTCCGGTGGCCGGGCTGTCCGGGTGGATGTACATTCTCTTTGGCATTTCAGGGTCAGCTTTGCCTGCTACCATCCACCGGGAATTATGGAATTTGTATCTACAGTCGTCAGCCGCCACAATATCCATCAATAAAATGTACTTGGCCTTTTTATCCAGTCCAGTGCATCTCACTTTAAACGGAGGAAACATTCTCCTACGGGCAGAGAACGGGAGATAACGAAAAGACGAGACGAAAGGGGAAAAAGTAAAAAAAAAAAAAAAAAAAAAAAAAAAAAGAAAGAAAAAAAAGAATCACAGCGTTGCAGTGAGCTCCTAAAGCTTGGTGGCCCTCGGTCCCTCAGAAGCAGAACTCTGCCCCCGCCCCCAGTGCAAAGATTTCTCCAACGCTCCCAAGTTGCAGGAGAACGCCGTCCCTCGGATGGGACGCAGAACGTACCCCTGGTGGGCACACACCTCTCCGTTCCTAAACAGCAAAGCCTCGTTCAGCCCTCCCGGATCTCTCATTATCTGTAGATATATTTCCCTCTGTTAAACAATAGGAGCAGATCGCTCTCCAATTAAAAATATTCCTCACTTCTACAACCGGCTCCGTCGTTAGAGAGCGGGGGGGGGGGGGCTTCTGTAATTAATCAAAGCGGAGAGGAGCCCACGGTGAGAGCTGCGAGGTCCCGCTCACACCTCTGTGCAGAGGCTCCCTGAGAACCGCGCTCCCCTCCGCTCCCAAGTCCGGCTCCAAACTGCAACAGGATACCACAAATTTGCTGTTTATTATATCGAGCGGTTGGCATTCAGCAAGCCCAACTTAAAAGGAAACACATGACTTTGCAACACGTAAGAGCGCCTAACATTCGCCGAGGCTTTCGAGCAAAACTTTCTGCTACAATTAAGAGAGAAAACTTGAGGAAGGCAGCGAAGCGGGCCGGGCTGTTTGTTTTTTTCCCCCGCTGCTCTAGGGGCTTTCTTTCCCTAAGCCCTCAGCCTGCAGCCGGCGCTGTGCGGGGCTGAAGCCGCAGCACGGCGACCCGAGGCGGCTCTCAGGAGCGGTTTCTCCCCCGGCCGCTCTCCCTGCAGACGGCACGCCGCTCGTTTGCTGCCTTCCCCAGGGCGTGCGTTACAAACACGGCCGAGAGCGAAGGATTCGCTCGCTGCGTGGCATCACATCCACAGGCAGAGTTACAAACGAGCACAGACGTCGATTGGGAGCGAATATAGAGAGGGATTTCAGATGTGTAAACCTATAAAATGCCGAAATGCGCAGCGCGATACGCGCCGTGTGCGTTCATTCATTCGCACGTGAAGGTTATATAAATACATGGACACGCAGCGCGCTCCTGCAGGAGCTGCAAATCCTTCCTTACAGCAGCGCGGGTGCTTTTCGCCGCTTTTTCTGCATTTCCAGACGTAATTAGTCAGCAGAAATGCATGCCTGTATCACGGTAGAGACACAGGCACAAGCGAGGCAGCTGATAAACAGAATCTCCCTGCCCTCCTGCAGCTACCACCTCACCAGCAGAGATACGTCGCTACAAATATTTTTTGCTACATTTCCCCTTCTCTCCATGAAAGAAGAAATACCGCGTGCAGCAAGGCTGCAATCAGGCCGGCGCCTTTTCCAGCCCCAAATTATTTTCTTTCTGCTCCCAGAAAGTATTAAGCTGCTGAACCATGAAGAGCCCCTCTCGCCCCCTGCGCACGCACCGAGAGCGGCCGGTTCGAGGTTCAATAGTTGAGCCTTTCCCCGAGTGCGCTGCCCTCAGCGGGGCTTAGCAGTTGCCTCGCACTTTTCCTAATTCCTGATGAAATGAGCTCGATGGAGGCAGTGCCGGACAGAGCCTTGCTCCGGAGCAGGCTGCCGGTGCAAAGACCGAGGGGGGAGGGAGCCCGAAAACCCAAGCACGACCCCCATCCCACACCTACCTTCCCGATTTGGTGATCACCATCTCCGTGCCTCTTTTATGGAATTGTTCCCAAAGCTCTTTGGCTTCCAGGTGCACTTTCGGGTCGTCTTCCACTTCTTCTTCTGGCTCCAGAGTTTTTAAAGGCCTCAGATGGGCTGCTGCCTGGTGGCCCAGGGAAGAAAAAGGGATAGCAGTCTCTGCAGCCCCCACTAGCTGATCCATAATGGGCTTAGCCAGGGCCCCGGGGAGGGAGAGGGCGGCCGCGCCGTTGGGGGGCAAAGCCAGGGCCGGGAAAAAAGGGGGCTGATGTCCCAGCACGGCGCTCATGGCAAAGTCCGGTGCCCGGTGAGGTAAAAAAGGATGATAAGCCATGCTTGTCCCAGGGATCACTGGATCTCTCATCGGTATATTCATCCACTCCACTCCTCGATCTTCCTACTGCTGGAGTAGTCCTGGAGTGGTTTCTAACAGCACATCATGGAGAAGAAAAATTAAGATAATAACAATAACAAGGAGAAAGCACCAAAAAGAAAAAAAAAAATAGGGTGGGGGGAAACAAGCTCTAAACAGCACAGTACATGGGGGAGAGGCAGAACTTCTACAGCCTACAACTTCCCGAGCCGGGGCACATCCTCGGCCCTCGGGACAGCAGGGTAACAGGATCGTTCATTATTCGTCTTGCTTTCTGTGTTGTTGTTCTCCCTCTGCGGCTCTTTTTCCCCGAGTTGAAGTCCTTGCGCTTGAAAAGCAATGCCGAAGAAGGGGAGAAAAAAATCCACCGGGTTCGCTGCGTGCTCCCGTTGCCGCGGAAGGGCTGGACAAGCCGAGATCCTTTTTTTCCTCTTCTTCTTTTTTTCTCGTGCTCTCAGTCCCTCTTTTCTTCCGTCGCGGAGGGTGGCGGCTGGAAGCCGGGCTCGCTTTTTGGGTCGGCTGTGTTCCCCCCCCCTCCCCCCCCCCCCCTCCACCTTTCCTCCGTACGGGCAGGCTGCAGAGCAGAGGCTGGGGAGGGAGGGAAAGCAGAGAGAAGCGAACAAACCCACCCCCCCTCGCCGAGCGGGGAAGGCTCCTCAGCAACCTTCAGGCAGCGGCAGCAGCAAAACTTGTAGGGAAATCTCGTTTCCGCCTCGCCTTCCCCCGCTCCGAGCAGGAGCTGGTCACAGTGCCCTGATTTCCATCAGGATCTCTTCTTTCTTTTACCCTCCTCCTATTTTTTTTTCCTTCCCCTTCTCTTTCTCTTTCACTCTGCCTTAAAAAAAAAAAAAAAGTATATAAATAAATATAAAAGAAAAAGAAAAAAAGAAAATAAATCTGAAAGAATGATACTCTTGTCTCCTCTCCAGCAACGCTCCAGCAAAGGAGAGAGGGAGGAAGAGAGAGGGAAAGAGAGAAAAAGGAGGAGAAGGGGGGGAGAAAGAGAGAAAGAGAAGGAGAGAGGAGAGGGAGAGAAGGAGCCTCTCAGCTCTGAGAATTCCCTGTGAGTCTGTGCTCTGCGTGCACCAGATTGTATGGATGTGTTGTGGGTTACAAGGGAGCTGGAGCCTCCTTGATTGGCTCTTTGACGCTTTCGGACCAATTGTGTGGCTCCATAGGCGTGGTTTTGACAGGTCGAGTGGAAGGGGGACAGAGCCGAGTTATAAAAAGAAGGTGTCGGAAACTGTAACGCTGCAGCAAAGCATCACTAGTACTCCGTGCCGTGTGAATATGTCAACATGATCAGAGGGGAGGGAGCAGGCGGCACCGGGCCGGGCGGCCGGGAGCCGCCTCTAGGGGGGGTTCTCGGGGCCGCCTCGCCCCCCGCCCGGCCCCTCCGTGCCCGGATTGCGGCCCCGGCCCTGGCGAGATGGCAGCTGGGCGCTGCCGGCGCTCGGTAGGAGCTCCCGCCGCTGCGGCTCCCGGCAGAGCTGGAGAGGCGGCGGGGGCGGATCGGGTGGGGGGGTGGGGAATGGAGGCGGCCTCCAGGCAGGGTGAACAGGGGGTCCAGCCCCGGGTGCCCCCACCACACCTCAGCCACACCGAGCGGAGGTCTGGCTCGGCCCGTGGGGGTGGCCGGTGGGGGAAGGCGGCCGCGGGAACCTCGGTGTGCTCCCCCCACCAAGCTCCCCCACAGCCCCGGGGCTCCGGAGCCCCTTGGGCCGCACACCCGTCCCCACTGCGTCGCTCCTTTCGCCGGTTCCTGCTGCCCCTCCGCCGCCGACTCGGTGCCCTTCCCCCCCCCCCCCCTCCGCCCCTCCGGAAAGTCGCTGCCTTTTAATGCAGAAAACAGCTCCAGGCCTGACCTCGGGCCGTTCCCATCCCGACCCCCCCGTATCCGGGACCGAGACCAGGGGGTGGGAAGCGGTTCGGGGGAGGCTCGGCTGTGCGCTTCGGCCCGGCTCGTGGGGTGATGGCTGCGGGCAGCCGGGGGCCGCGCTCCGCTCAGCCCCGGCCCGGCGGCTGCTGATCGCCTGCGGACGTTAAAGCACCTTCCCCCCCACCATCCCCAACTGGGAGGGGCTAAAAAATTTAAAAAAATAAAATAGGACTTGAAATATATGTAAAAAATAAAACATTAAAAGGGGGTTCTTTCTATGCAGATGGGAGGAGTGCGGCCGCTCGGCTGGCCCCGGAGCCGAGAGGGTTAACGCTCCCACACCCCTCCTCTTCCATGAGGTGCACGGGGAGGAGACGGGAAGTGCGGCTTTCCCCGCGGCCGGGCCGCGGTGCGGGGCAGCGGCAGGCGGGGGACCCAGGCCCGATCCCCCCTCTCGATCCCTCTCCCTGCGGGGCAGCCCCACGCGTGGGTTCCCGTCTGCCCCGATCCGCCTGCCGAGTTTCTGGGGAAACGTGTTCCCGGGGCGGGGAGTGAGGGGTGGGTGACAGTGCGGGGCCAGCGAGTCGGGGCTCGTGCGAGTGTCGGCGTGTGCGGGGAGTGCGCGTCCGTGAGCGCGCGTCTGCGGGTGGTCGTGCGTGTCGGGTGGGGGCGTGGGTGCGCAGGACACGCGCGTTTCGGGCGGTGCCAGGAGGTGCCTGATCTCCCCGCTCCCCACGTCGTGCCTTAAAAGAGGGGTTGATAATCCTACGGGAGGGGAGCGGGGAGAGCTGCCTGCGCGCAGATGGGAGCGGAACCTCTAAAGTGATTAGCTCTTCTAGCATTGCATTTTTGACGCACATGGTTAAGAGCGCTTGGCGCCAGCTTGGTGAAGTCCCTGTAGTAACCAGCGTCTAGGATCGCTTTGCATTCACCAAAATATCTCCCCTTCGGTCGGGGGTGGGGGTGGAAAGGAGAAGGGAGGAGGAGGGAGGAAAGGAAGCGGGAGTAATGCATTCAAAGAAGATGTAGGGAAAAGACAAGGGCGGGGGTGGGGGGGGAAGCGTGATGTATTTCAAGGAACCGAGAGCTTAGCTGCCCGCGCAGCGCTCGCCTCGGCTGCGGAGCGGAGGGAGCGAGAATTCTTGAGCGCTCTGCTCGGAACCAGGGCCTGGGCTCCTGCCGGCAGCCGCAACGGGAACCCCGGAACCTTCCCTTTGCGGAACCCACAACAAACGCCCGAATAAGCTGTTGTATGTTGGCGGAACGGCTCGGAGAAACTTGGCCGCAATTTGCCCCAAGCAGGCCGCAGCTGTCTGCCAGGGACCGGGAGGTGCCCTCGGGCTCTCGCAGGACAAGCGCAGCCGCTCCCAGAGCCGCCTCGCCCCGCTCCCCGCGCCCGCCCCTCCGGTACGCGCCCTCGGGGCCGCGGTGGAGGCCGGAGCCGTTGGTGCCCTCCGCGCCCGCCCCGCACTTTGCGCAGAGCTCGTCGGCCCGCGGAGGGAAATGAAGCGTTCGCTGCTTATGATTTCCAATGTCAGCGTCTGGCTGATGGCGTGCAAACTTCCGCCAGTTCCGAGTGACCTCCCCGACGAAGCCCCCTGGAGACTCGTATTATGAAGGGAGGCTGCACTAATCTAAGATCAAAAGCGGGAAGGTGCGAACAGTCTTTGTCTCCCTTCGGCCGCCTCGTTCCCCCTCCTGTGTGTGATAAATCTACCCTGGCGCCGACTGCGTGCTGGATGATTAATTTGCAAGCAAACAAAAGGGGACCTGATGGCCAGCCATCTTAGTTAAATATTGGCCAGTGGTTCCAGCTACTTGTTAGCCGCCTCTTTCCCAGAAATAAATAAATAAGCAACGCGCGGAAATAAATAAATAAGGAAGCCAGCAAAAACGAAGAGCGAGAGGGGAGGAAAGAGAGCAAGGAAAAAAAAAAAAAAAAAAAAAAAAAAAAAAAAAAAAACCGAAGGGCCGGGAGCAGAGCGGAGGTGGGAACGGGGCTGTGGCGGGGGGAGGCCGGGTGATAGCACGCCGAGATAGCCGCCTGCCCCCGGCCCGTCTGCAGGCCGCGCTGCGCCAAGGCCGACACTATCTTGGCGCTTCAAAGAGCTCTGAAAGGTCCCCGCTGGCTCCCCGGCCCGCGGCTCTCTAATCTCGGAGCGCAGGAGCCAAAGGCCGGGGCGGGGGGAGCGGCTCGTCGGGTCCGCAGCACCCCTGGCCACTTCCCGAGCCAGAAACATCGCTGCTTTTTCCCTGGTTCAATGCAGGCCGGAGGGAAAGCAGAGCAGTCCTGGTTGCTGAGAGGCTGCGAGAGCTCCGCTCGCTCAGATTTCGCCCTCCTAAGCAACTTTTTAGCGTTTGCACGAGGGATCGGGGCGTGAGGTAAGCCTCTCCCGGTAGCCCGAAGAGCCAGCTGGAGGGAGAAGGCAGGAGGAAAAGAATGGCAGCGCGACTGCGGAGCCCACACGTCCTCTCCCAAGCCTGCGGGAGCCACTCCGAGGCGTGTGTGTGTGCTATGAGCACCGTATGCGTGCAGGGAGGCTCCGTGGGTGTACGCGCCCCGGGGAGGGGGGGCCATGAGCTGAGTGCACCGCAATTCCGTGACCCAGCAGCGAAAGCCGGGGAGTCTCCTTGCACCCCTGCGTGCAGGGCTGACAAAGGTGCTCGTGGGTGCTGTGCAGGAGGGAGCGGGGCCAGCACGCACCGCAGCCCCACACACCGCACCGCTGGGACTTCCATCCTCTCGATGCGTTTCCCTGTGGCACTGCAGGTCCGAGCATCCCTCTCCTCCCAGGCACCTCCATCTCCTCCAGCCGCAACCTCCGCTCGGCCCCCAGCCCTCGGAAAGCAACACGCAGCCGCGGCCGGTCTATGTTTATCCCAAATAAAATGCAGCGGGCTCGTTTACTTTGGCAGCTTTGCCGTAAATACTCGGGGGGCGGCGATGACACGCTGATTCCGAGCGCTATTCCTCCAGAGAAAGGTGTCAGGAGCCGGGGCCGGTGCTGGCGCTGCTCCGTCCCAGAGCGGCACTGCAGGCCTCGGGCACAATGAAATGGGTCCCTATAGGGCGAGTCTGTACACTCAGACCTCATGAATTGCTGCGGGGGAGGGAAGGGGGTCACCGCGGCAGCTCCTTGCCTTCCCTTCCGCAGAGCTCTTCCTGCAGTCACCGGCTGAATTTTAGCTAAAGCCTGACCTGAACGCTTTGCAAAATAACCTGCCCGGTTCCAGAGGAGTATGGTGAGGGATTAGAAATACAAGCTGGAAAAAAAAACAACACGACAACAATAAAATACAATCCAATGCACACTTCTCTTTGGCCAGGCCACCGGTCCTCTTTCCTGGGACTTACAGGACTGGACAGAGCTGGAGATACTTTTACGTACACCTCCTCGGGGCACCAGAAAAAAACACAAGTGAAGAGCGTGGTTGGAGAAAGGTTCTCATCCTCCAGCCATGTCTGGGGTGTGTCCCTGCAGGAAAGGCTGCAGTGTCCCTGCACGGCCCAGCACAGCATGGCACGGCCTGGCCCGGCTCGGCACACGGCCTGGCTCCTGTTCACTGCCAAATCAACAGCCAGCAGGGACACCAGGGTGCTGTATAATTTTGGAGCCCTCCCAAACACCGTAACCACTCACATCCCTGCAGCAAGACCCGCTGTCACTTGGTCCCCATCTCCAAACAGCTCAGACGCTCCCCAGCCCCATCCATTTTACCTCAGATGAGAGAAGAAAACCAGAGGGTACTCAGAGGCGAATCCCCACCCCAGAGCACCCCCCCACCTTCGAGCCCGGGCTGCCCTTTCCCCCAGCCTTGATCCTGCAGTGTGCTCTTAGAGGAGGTGCAATTAAAGCCCTGCTCCCTCTCCCTCCCCTCCCCTCCGATCCTTCTGCTTCCACCACCGCTGGCTAAGCAGAAATTCTAAATAGAGTTCGCTGTTTGGATAAAGATTTTTTATTTTTTTTTTTGATAACCAGGCATATACATACAGTTTGCCGCTCAGGAAGTAGAACTAATTGTCGTTTCCTACAGTCAAACAGATCTATCTTTTCAATGCTGTCTTTGTGTGTCTGCATGCGAGAGAGAAAGAGGGAACGAGTGGATACGTTTATTCAATTATTTAAACGCACAAACAACAAAACAACAATCCCGAGGAGGGACGAGCCTTCCCGAAGGAGCCCTCCAGCTCTCCAGATGCGGCATTCCCCCCTCACCCCCGCCCGCTCCCTGCAGACCCAGTAGAACAAGGCACCCGGCGAGAGAAACCGATTTTATCTGCTTTGACCATCGGCCGTGTTCTTTAACAACCCAGCCCCGGCGCTGGAACCTTGCCCACCTCCCCCGGGGTCTCATCCGACCCTCCGCCCCTCGGTCACCCCCGAGGCA